GGGGGGGGGGGGGGGGGGGGGGGGGTAGAAGAGGGAAAAATCTGCCCACCTACTCCAGTCTAACCACCTGCTTGGAGTAGTAGCTCTAATAAAAGAATAACTTTTGTAGAAGAATGTAAGGTAATGGTTTAAACCCTTTCCCCTCCCCCCTCACCCCTAAATCGTATAAAAGTAAAACAATAGGAGAAATAAAATGCTGTAAAGTGGTTTAGGAAGCAGAACTCAAGAAAGTATCTTCATCTCAAATGGGATCAAGAGGATGATCAGCTTTTGCGAAAATGGTTAAATTTGTATCTGTTTAACGCCTCTTTCTACCCTGTAATGTTATTTAAGAGGCAGTACGTCTGAATTTAACGTCAATCTCCGGTAGGACAAAGTCAGATTTGTAGACAGCTTTAAAAGCTCTAAAAAATAAATCAAGTTTTAGAATGTCCCACTGAGGCTTCGGACCGTTCACTCTGAGCCAACGGAGCCCCCCCGAAGAGCACTGCACTGTAAACTCGTGAAATCAAGTTCCCTCGTCTGTTTGCTGGATATTGTATCCCACTAAACTCAGGTATGCCTCGACAGGCTCTTTAGAAGAAGCCTGCCCCCTAAATGGTTTAAATTTTGTTGGTAGGGAGCGCAGAATGTTACATTCATCAACATCGTCAAGTGCTAGATCTGCGACAGACATGGGCGATCATGATTCTCCATTCATTCCTTTGCTCGTAGGCTCTTAAAAAGTTACACTATCCTGATTTTTCTCCGTCACTCGTCTGCCTAGGTTCTCCTGGCAGGTAGTTCGGGGCCTACCCTTTCCTCGTTTGTCTTCAATTTCTAGGTATTACAATTATATTATTATAATATTCTCAAACAGCTGGCAGGAGCTGGATTCAAGAACATCGACTGTCTAGACGCCTCCCAGGGTCTGCTGAATAAAGCTAAAGAGAAAGGAGTTTACACCAACTTCTTTTGCCACTTTTTGGGGGATCAGAGATTGCCCATTCCGGACAGTAAGATATTCTGCTTTATAATCTGAGAATATGAGCATCTCCTAACACATACACACACACACACACACACACACACACACACACACACACACACACACACA